TTAAAAATCTTTATTATTAAAATTGGGATTCGAAATCTAAAGATAAATTATATCCACAGCAAATAGTCCTTCACAAATTAAACCATTTTATAGCAGTTTGTGAACCATTTTGAGCTAGTAATCTCATGCTGTCATATGTACTTTTTTCCAGACCTGCACAACATCTCCACAACGAACACCCATCCGGTTCCGCTGAAGCTGCAACGCATCGATATCTCGCACAACAACTTCGCTGAGCTGCCCAACTGGATCGGAGCATGTGCATCCTTGTCCGCCCTGGACGCTTCGAACAATCGTCTAGCCAATGTGACGGGCCTGCTGCGCAACTACAGGATCAGTCAGTTGGTATCCTTGAACCTGGCGTACAACGATCTAAGGCAGCTGGACCAGTTGCCGGAGGCCTTTGCCAGCCTCCGGAGTCTCCAGCTGCAGAGCAATGAGCTACCGAATCTTCCCGAAAACTTCTTCGCCGTGACCTATGCCCGACTGGAAACGCTGAATGCCTCCTGCAACAAGTTGGCCACTCTGCCGCGCTACGAGCAAAATAACCATGCTGCCCTGGTGAATCTCTCGTTGGCGGGAAATCAACTTAACGACAGTATCTTTGAGCCATTGCACAATGCCGCCAAATTGAGAGTCCTTCATCTGGCCTACAATCGCATTGGGGTCCTGCCCGCCGCCTGTGTCCGCAACTGGCCAGAACTGGAGATCCTAGTTATGTCCGGCAATATGCTGCAACAGCTGCCCGAGGAGGTGGCCACTCTGGGCCAGCTGAGGGTGCTCCGCTGCTGCAACAATCTACTGCTCTGCACCCCGCAACTGGCCAAATTGGGAATGCTTAAGGTGCTGGATCTCTCGCATAATCATCTGGATCGAGTCAATCTGCTGGCATTGGTTCCCTCGAGGAATCTGAAGTACCTGGACCTGTCAGGCAATCTGCAGTTGCAGGTAAGGTTTTGATATTCTGTTTATAATACGTACTTGAACCTGTTCATATAAAAAGCATACAAAAATATATTTTTTTTAAATATATTATATTCTTTCCTTGCACCGAACGAGATGCTGAAGAATTCGCGTTTTTTCTACCCGTATAACGAATCTTAAGCTTCGCCACCTTATTTTATTTTATGTTTAAGACCTTTATATTTAAAGTGCTATGAATATTATTTTTAATCTAATGTAATTCTCCTCCAGGTGGACGAGCAGCAGTTCAAGGTCTGTCAGACCCAAAGCCAGAGACACTGGAGCCTTATAGACGTATCCGGCAACAACAGAGCTGCCCTGCCAACCACCACCCTTCGGCAGGTGACTGCCCAACGGGGTCAAAACAAGACGACGGGTCCCTGGACCATGGGCTTTGCAGAGACTCCAGGATCTGGGGACTGCCGCAAACTTTCGGTCTGCCAGCTGCGAGCGGCCGACTACGGAGGTGCTGATGAAGCCCTCTACGGGATGTTCGAGGCGATGGAAGGACATAGCCGGGTGGCTCAGGAAATGGCACATCTCGTGCCCGAACTGATGAAGCAGGAGCAGTTGGTCAAGGACTCGGCGGTAAGGGATTACATGAAGTTTACCCTGCTGGCGGCGCAGCAGCAATGTGGCAGTGTGCGGAGCGCCGCCTTGTTCCATCTCACCAGGACACGGGCGCCGTCGAAGGTGAGACCGCTGAAGAGCAAGCGCTATGTGCTGCGCATGGCCAGCACGGGACGTTTGGACGCCTATTTGATACGCCGCACCTCCCAGTTGCGACTGACTGAATCGGAAGCCATCCAAAAGGATCAGAGTGTTTCCTTGGGAATGCCAGATCCCAACGTATTAGAGGTGGGTTTTTTTTCACATTTTCCCGCAATTGGTATAGAAACCCCTTCGGTTTCACCCCATCCTTTCCTAGAAAACATTCATTTTCATAATTTTAAAGATCTCTATCTAACGATCTCTTTCTAATTTCCTGTTCCTTGTTCTAGCTCACCCTCAGCAACGATGACGAGTACCTGGTAGTGGGCAATGCCCAGCTCTGGTCAGTGATGGACATTGATCGCGCTGCTCGAGAGATCCGGAAGGAGGAGAATGCCCTGCTGGCAGCCAAGCGACTGGTGGACATTGCCCAGAGCTTTGCGGCGGCGGAGAATCTCAGTGTGATTGTTGTGCGCTTCCGGCATCTGGGCACCGACGTGGACCATCTCATCCGGGAACTGAAGCAGAGTGTGCGCAAGAAGCCACAGGTGTCCCTGCCCTCATCCAGTGGATCCGTTTGTAAGCGCACCTGCTGCGATCGTAGCAATGCGTGTCGTCATCGGGCCATCGAGCAGGAGCCGCTGGCAGGACGATCTTCGCCAAGTGGACAGAGCGATCGCGATCTGTTGGCCAAAGACAAGGACGATGAGTTCGTCCTGGCCCATGCCCGCGTCCTGCAGGAGGAGCAACAACTGGAGATGCTGGACGAAACGGAATCGGTGCTCTCCGAGGAGCAATTCAAATGCTGGGAGTATATGTTGGAGCAGAACACCCAGCTGTTGTTCGACAAGGAACTGAACACCATCTCCAAGTCATTCACGAAACAGCGAACCGTTCCCAATGCCATCATGGCAGCTCCTGCTGCTCCGGATCGCAACGATTTCACCTCGAATCTGATGCGCAGTGTCACCAACAAGTTCATCTCGTCCAGCACTCCGCAATTGCCCCAGCCACTGGGCTCCCCCATAGCGAATTCCGTGCCCTTAGGATCATATCATCAGGTGAAGCAGCCGGTTCCCGGACACTTTGGCAGTGCCCTGTCCTTTCAGCAGGCCCAGAGTTATGGGTACAATCTGTTCGATGCCAAGCCGCGACCCAAGTTTTCCGGGAACAATGTAAAACGCTCCGGAGCACCAAATTCCGCCTACTTTGGATCCCTTCAGCGACTTATGCCCTATAACTTTGAGTACGATTTTGCCGTGACCCAGGAGCGGGAGAGGAACATTCTGGACGAGGAGGAGCAGGACGATGATGAGTTCAACGAGCACGAGAGTCGCATGCGAAAATACTGGGGAGTGGCCACCACGGAACTCTAGAGTGTAGAATAAGGATTATTTTTACCAGGGTGTTTACTATAAGTTCAACTGTACAATTTTCCTTAGTTTTTATACCGTTAATAAGCAGAGTTGGAAGTCTTCAGACCCCAACGAGTTTTTGGTTTAGTAAAGTCAAAGTTGTTTGAAATTCTTAAAAAAAAAAATCAAATTTACATATAAAGTTTATTATAAACCTATTAAATTAATTGTTTGTATTCATATTCCAAACATTTAGACATACTGTATAAAATAAATTCGAATAAATTGATCTTCTTTCTTATTATTTCTATATACTTATCCGTTTTTTTATTCCCCCTGTTTTAAATCTCGTCAATATCGCAGTAATAATCGATTCCCGACCTATCGATAACCTCTCACGTGGTAACTTCGATAGGCATTGCTAGTCTTCTAAACGTTCGGCAATTGCTTATGTTTATTTACCTTTAATTATTTAAATAATGATTGACTTGCCGCAACAGAGACCGCACCACGACATCTCCGCGCTGTTCGCAGAGGCACATCCGGATTTTCTGCGGGTGAGCGCTCCAAGTAAGTTTAAAAACTATTCAACATTTTAGCTTACTAAAGCTGCGTATTTAATTTTGCAGTGGTGCGCTACAGTAAACTAGAATTCCGGCGGCTCGTCCGGTTGAATGGAGTACAACTCGCCTTTACGCCGATGATGATCTCGGACTCGATCAACAACAGCGAGAAGGCCCGCCAGAACGAGTTCTCCACGGGATCTGATGACCAGCCGGTGATTGCCCAGTTTGCGGCCAAGGATCCCACGGAATTCGTGACCTCTGCCCAGCTCATCTATCCGTATGTGGATGGCATCGATTTAAATTGCGGATGTCCGCAGAGCTGGGCCATGGCCAAGGGCTATGGATGCGGAATGCTGCGCCAGCCGGAACTAGTACGTCAGGTGGTGCAGCAGGTGAGACAAACTTTGCCCACCGACTTCAGTGTCTCGGTGAAGATGCGTCTACTGGGAGGTGATGAGTCCTTGCAGCGCACCATCGATCTGGCCCGCCAGTTGGAGCACGCTGGCGTCACCTTCCTCACTCTCCACGGCCGGACGCCAGCGCAGAAGCACTCGAAGGACACACTGGACATACCAGCCATGTCAGAAGTACGCAAATCTCTGCAGATCCCCCTGATAGTCAATGGCAATGTGGAGAGCTACAGGGATGCTTGCGATATGCATGAGCAGACAGGAGCCGCTGGTGTGATGGCTGCCCGTGGCTTGCTCGACAATCCGGCGCTTTTTAACAGCTCCTATCCGGAGAGCAGAACGACACCTTTGTCCTGTGTGCAACAGTGGCTGGATATAGCAGCAGCTGCCGGAGACAACCTCCTGTTTCAGTGCTTTCACCATCACCTCACCTTCATGTGGAGCGCCCAAATGAAGCGAGACCTGCGCGTCCAATTTAACAGTTTGGGAACCAAAGAGCAGGTTGTGGACTTCCTCAAAGAACACTATAATCTGAAATATGAGGATGATCCAAACCCGGCTAACTATACGGATTGCACCTACACTCACTTCACGCCGCCCAAGCACGCCAGGCACATTGCCGCCGAATCGGATGAGCAGGCCTGGAGTTCGCAAAGCGATGGCAAGTTCTTCACGGAATTCAGGGCGCACCAGTTGACAGGTACTGGCGGAGAAGATCTGGAACTGGGAGGACTCTTTGGCAATGAGGAGTAAATTCTTATATGAATGTATTCTTAGATGGACAGGTATAAAGGGTGTAAAAATTAAAATATAAACCCATTTTTTAATTTTAACTATAGTTTACATATATGTAAGTATGTAAGTGGAATTGTATGTGTGTGTTACCTACCTATATATATAACTAATTCTTAGGAAAAATCTAGTGGTTTAAAGTTAAAGAACATTATGATTAAAATATTTGATAGCATAAAATCATCGCGGGTAAAATACTGGGAAATCGACTGCTATCGATAGTAGGTAGATTTATATTCGATAGAGGGGTTGAGGCCTGTCGAGTAGTCGATAGCTGGAGATGTAAGTTGTATACATCCCACCCCAAAAGAAACAAACACATCCGTGAAAATGCGACGCCGCGAACTGCAAACCATCCAGCTGAAGCTGTCTGATCTCAAGGAGTACGAGCAGGCCAAGATGGAGCGCCTGAGGAGCCGCCAGCAGCTGCTGACTCCCCGGACGCCCACGCCCCCGTCCGACAGCGAGGTGCTGCCGGTGACCTCCAGTAGCGTACCGGCTGTTCTCCTGGCCAGCGGCAGGAAACAGGACGATGACGCCGACAAATCGGAGCCCACAACCAAGCCCAGCACATCCTCCACCTAGGACTAGGATCAAGGCCCACATGGTAGGTTCACATACATATATTATCGTTTACATGGGATAATCGTCCGCCTGGCTGTCGTTGTTGTTTTGGAAACGAACCGTCTCGAAGCCGTCGACAAGGATTTCGCGATCTTCGGTCTGCTGCCGGTCCAGCAGCCACTGCTCCCGCACGGGCACATAGCGACGTAGTCCGGGTATTTTCCTCCAGCAGCGTCGCTTGTAAAGAACCCAAACCAGCGATGCACTGCACCCAAAGAGGAAACAGATCAGGAATATGCTAATGCCGCGAGCGTGCGACGCTGTAACTGGCAATTCTGAGAGTTCTGGGGACAGTTCTTTGGCCTCTCGACTGTGGGCAAACTGCCGCTGATCCTCTTCGCTGCATTCAACGATTGGGATGTAGGGCGTCATCTCATCCCCGGCCAGGGAGTGTACCCGCACAGCGCACTCGGTATAGGTGATATTTAGCCGCTTGACGTACACATAGCCAGCACTCTGGTGATCCTCCCTCGTAACACAGCCGACGTGTGTCTGGTTGAAATTGTTGCGGTAATGGATCACATAGTTGGTCACCAAGCCATTGGGATTCGTGGGCTCCTCGAAGCGCAGGACGTACCTTTCCGTCTCCGGAATGTGGCAGGCATGCAGCTGGGTGAGAAGATTAGCGCCCAGTGTGTAGTTTGTGCGTCCGTAGAGCGTTGTGTGGCTGCTGCATCCCAGTGAATTGCAGGCCTGCAGTTGCAGTTCATACAAGCGATATCGGGACAGTGACTTATGCTCGTACTCGGTGGTGTTTCCCGGCAGCCGGAGCTGTGGTAGAGTGGCCGCGGCAAGTGACAGTCGGCGGCACTGCTTGCGATCATCCAGAGTGCAGCGATACTGCTCCCGCATATTGGCAATGAAGCGAGAGTCGTCCAATTGCTCCGCCTTGTGGGCACAGCAGTCCTCGTAATTCTCGAACCCTATCCAATTGGGGCCGTCCATGTCCCGCCACACAAACGACAGCTGGTGGCAGTAGTTCCGCTGCTCTATATACTCCTGATCATCTTCCAGTTCAAAGACTGTAAGCAGGAAGCGGTCGTGGTCGTGACTGGCCATTCGCACGGTCAGCGAACTGTCCGTCTTCTTGACCAGTTCCAGCAGAGGTGGCTTAGGAATATCCAGCTCTGTCTCAAAGTAGATCAGTTCGCTGCGCGCCTCCTGGGCCAACTCATCGCCGAAAGTTCGCAACAGGCAGGCGTACCTCGTGTCTGACTGAAGATCATCCAACTGGAACAGATAGTGGGTGCCATTGTCGACCAAATCGTCAGGGAAGAGCAGTCGTCGTTTCCAGTTGATTCGTGTGCATATCGGGGCCTCCAGTTCACTATCCTCATGGTACCGCTGCCCAGGTGGCAGTGGCCGGTGGATCAGTTCGAGCCTCTGGCTGGTTTGAGACTTCAGCCAGCTAAGCTTCACAGTCCGATGGGTTCGTCTCTAACAGATACATATAAAAAGGATTTGTTAGTAAGAACGGATCAAAGCATTCAGGAACTTTGTAAATTACCTGCACAAACAGCTGCATCTTTAAAGGACTGCACTGGACCTCCTGATCGTTGGTCTGCAGAGAGTCCAGGGCTCTGTCGTGGTTCACATTGTTCTGGAACTCGCGCATCCGCTTGTTGCACAGCTTGTTGTTGCGATGCATGAACATGCCGCCCTCCACAAGCTGCAGTTCCCGGGAGGGCTTCCACAGCTCGGCCAACTTCTTGTTGTCGTACAGTATGAAAGAGTAGTGGCGATTCTCTGGCGGATCACCGTGCACGCGCTCCAGATTGCGAAGGAAATTCAAACTTCGCAGCTGGGAGGAACTGGATAAAAAAGGAAGTACATTAGAGTAACAGTTGAAAACCTAGTAAAATAATGCCCACCGATAGACTTTCACGTGACCCCTAACCTCGCGAATACTGGTGAAACTCTGGTAGAGCTGCGTCTCGTTCACCTTGTTGCGAATGGTGATGACTAAGCTGCCGTTGTAGATCTGGCAGCCACGCAACTTCTCGGCATCGGCCAGGTTGTAAATGTAGAACGTATTCCCAGGGAACTCCGGAGTGCAGAAGCTAATGCAAGCCTCATCGGTGTCACAGAGCACGCACTCGGATGTGTTGTCCGTCCTGTAGCCGCTGGGACAGAAGGCCACGCACTGTGATCCGGATATGACATAGCCATGCTTGACAACACACTCATCCCTGGTATAGCAACGCTGAAAGTGCTCCATGATATACCTGCAAAAAAAAAAATGAAATGAAAACTTCTCGTTTAATCTAGAGTTTTCCAACTCACTTATCTTTCGGACAGCTCTTCACACAGACGCCGGCATCGCTGAGTCCACGGCAGACGGAGCAGTCAGCAGCGGATACCGGCTTGGTGCAGCCGCCCAGACAATCCTCATGGCAGGTTTCAATTTTGCTACGATGGTAAAGATTTAGGGAAATAGGAACTATACGAATTCAAAGGCACTGTCCTGTTTTACAAGTACTTTATTTTCTACTCACATCGAATAATCGGCGACGTTGTCGTTGAGGGATCGCTGGCAGTAGCGATTCGACCAGCAGTGAGAGGAACTGCATCCGGAGCACACCGGTGTACTGCAGTTTTTACTGACCATCGTGACGTGGTTCTCGCCTCTGCTGAGGGTCAGCAGATCCCAATTGACTTGGTCAATGTTGCAGAGCTTGGGACTGTTGCCGATGTAGACTTGTCCGCGTTGTATGGCCACTAATTGCGGGAAGGCTAACTGGAAGTGTACGTGGTTTAGAAATTGAATTTACAAACGAATAAATTGAACACTATGATATGTCCAATAAAACCAATGTCCTATATAAAGAAAGCTAATCGATCGATATTACAAATATCAAATCATTTTTTAAATCTTTTTCGAATAAAAGGGTCTCCTTTTGTCTGAGTTATTGAAAAGTGGAAGTGACTAAAACTTAGGAAAAAGATATTTCACTACTACTATATATAGTCGCAGAATTGAAAATCTGGTATGATAGTCCGATTGAAACAAGTCGTACACCAATCGAAAGGTATTACTATTCTTTTAAAGTGTACTACTACTACTAATGTGTAATGAAAAGTTTTTATGAAGTGTATTTATTTAGTGGATCGTATAATACATTTTCGGCACAAAATGATAGTGACATGAGAACAATTGTATGTTGAGGGTGTGATCGTTACTAGTTTTTTAACCAGTTAAAAGGTCTTTTTGTTTGATAACTAACTAGTCTTGAACTAAAACTGTAAGATAAATGTAAGAAACAATCGTTTTTCTCTCGATTAGGCACTTACCTCTTCAAGGTCGTACATGTTGGTCACGCCGAGAGCGTAGTTGAGGAACAGGCGGCGACCACGGATGACGGTCAGGTGCGGAAACATCTCCGTGATGTTGACCAGGCCGCGCACCTCGGTGAAGATCATGAACTCGGTGATCTCGGTGAGGAGTGGGAAGGAGTAGTCTGAGAAGTTGCAGTGCTGATCGCTGGCGATCAGAGTGATCATCAAGTAGCCGGTGACCACGGTGCAGTTGTCCAGAAGATGCATCTGATTGCACTCGTTCCGTATGTCGATGCTGGTACATTCGTGCTCAAATTTTGATTCGGCGCTGGGGAAATATAACGCCAGCAACATGAGGCTGACGCCCAGCAACAAGTGGCTGGACATGATGTTGGGGGTTATTGAAAAGTGATCTGAATTTTATTTTGCGATTTTCCTCTTTAGCTTCTTCTGCCGGCAGCGATGTCGCCCCAACATATTGCGACGCTTTTGCCGATCCTATGTTTTTTTCGATCCGATCAGCTTACAGTTATATGTAGCACATGTAACACTCCCAATTAGCGTACCGACTCTCCTCCGGCCATCTGATTAGCCCCAATATTTATGACTCGGGCGCTTTTCGCGCCGCTTTTTTTTCTTTAGCTCTCGCTATCGGTGGCGAAAAATCACTCGCGAAGGGTTGCCTTTTGTTTTTAATTCTTTGCTAATTATTTTCGTTTACCGTCTAGAGCTGAAGCGTAAACAAATACTCTATCACACAAGCACATTACGCACGTCAAAAACAATTTCTTTAATCGAATTTGTTTATTGTTTGTTTTTTTTATAGGCATTAGTTTGGCCTCGTGGAGGGCAGTCGTCTGCTCTTCTGTTTTTCGTCTCTTTTGGCACATATTCACTTCTCGGGGGTTGCCATATATTCAGATCACATTTCTTATAGAGAGAACGATGATCGCGGCATAGAGTTTGTTAGAAAAATATACAATTTTCAAAGTTAACGGTGGAGTTTATTGGAATGATGTGATTTCTTTAAGGAATTGAAACGAAAGGCACAAAAAGGAGGTCATAAGAAATAAATTCATACAATCTTTGGAACCACTAGATAATACTCATTCTCCTCTAGATATGATATATGTATGTAGCATTTCTGCCCTAAGTATTGAATAATAGTTCGTTAGTTAGCTGTCATAAAAAAGGTAAATTTACCGAAAGTTAAAATATTCTAATTTTTACATTTTTAGGGCTAGGAAGAAAGAAAAGACCGCGCTATGTCGTATCTATTTAAACGGTTCAATTAAAATTATGTAATACGTGGAAACAATACCGGCACCTTTGACTTTTGTAATATAATAAGTAGTTATTAGAATAATTGGTATCTAATGCTTTCGGCGATGAAAAATATTAATAACATTATAATTGTGTGTTCTTTTTCACTTTATTTTTAATTAATTATCAGGTTTAAGAACTTGATCTTTCTATGACTCAACTCTATAAGTAATATAAAATGTATGTCTCTTTGTATGTTTCAGGGAACTACAATCACTTTGATCGTCACTACCTCAATGGATGGCACACTTAAGATTTACAAAGATTATAATTCACAATTTACACCGTCTAGTTAATTTAAGCGTTTCGCGTAATCCAAGCGAAATTTCAATCGACCTACGCAGTTCAGTACTATACGTATATTAAGTGTATTTAATCGGGCACTATAATTAATTAGTGCTTAGCAGCCAGACTGTTAAATATAAGAAATAGCTCGAAAAATAACAAATATTTCAAGATTTCATTATTGGGCTGCTCCAGCTGACCACACACACGGGCGGTAGGCAATTAAAATAGTTTTGGGCAATGTTCAAAGAATGTAATCAATGTTAATATGAGAGCGCGTCGACGATGCTCACCTACCGACGATCGATTGCCGACTGACCGTCTGGGGACCTCGTCCGTCTGTGGAGAGCAAACAAATTGATTTTCCATTTAGTGTCTTCTGCCTCCAGCCTCCGACCGTGGGGTCTCGCCAATCGCCAGATACACTGCCTTCCGAGGGGGCCTTTGCGCAGTGACGACCGTAAATTGATTAAGCGATCGTTTGATTTCTGCGGGAATGTGAACCAGTTAATTTGTCATCTGAGCGGCATGTCTTATACAATAGCATGCGGTCGAGAAATGTGGGAAATTCTATTTATTTGGCCCCTTTTTGGCTCAGTGCAGCCATTGGATTTTTATGGCTGCATTTATGGAACTGCAGCTCCTGCCAAACCACCAGCTGATCCCACTGGCTCATAAAAACAGCTGACTCCAATTAGCCACATGGCACCGGTACCGGCATCGGCATTGGCATGGGATTCTTCTCTCCGCACGCACATGGACAACTCGAAATCAAGTCAGGAGAATTCCCATGCAGACTCAGAAGCGATTAAGTTTAACGAGCCGGCAATGAGAAGTTTTGGAGAGCATAGATTGCACACAAAAAAATAATGGGGCCTCGATGTCAAAACGATATTTCCAGATCAGTATCAATGTTAAATCGAAATATATTCTAAAATAATTGTTCACTTAAAATGTTACAGCATATATTACCAGCCCCTAAAAACAAGAAAGTTCTTCTAAACAACAAGAATTATGAAATGATCAATCATTATTTCATAATATGAAATTCAAATACATTTTTCTTTCTGTGCACTGGTGTTCAAGCTCAAACGTTATTTAATAATGTCTTCCTTTTTAATGATCTGAAAAAGTAAAACTAAAAGTTATTTGGACTTCTTTATAAGAAGACCTTTACATTTCAAAATCACTGTTTAAATTTACTTTTTGTAGTTTTAAAATAAATTTATAATTTCACAACTAATTAAAGTGTTTTATTTTCATTCTTAGCATTGACCTGTTTGCTTTGAAAGTATCCAATAGTATTTTATAATTTTTAACGATAAAAAACTAGTTATTTCATACATTCTTTTAAGCTTCATAAGAAACCAATATGATCGTTGGGTAGAGTAAGGGTCCAAAAGTCTACTTGTTTTCTTTTCTTACCGTCATCTTATTTGTATAAAAGATCGTTTCATATTTGTCAAACCCCTGCGAGTGCTTCGTGTCAAAGTTCAATTAATTCAATTAGTTTTGGGTGCGTGTATGCTCAGATCAACATATCAGATCAATGGAAAGCGCGAAAATACGCAGTGTGTTTTTATATTAGCTTGGAAAAAGAGTCTGTTGTTCATATTTGTTTAGATATATATTTATACAATGCAAATTTTAATTCGAGATAATGATAATGGCTAGCTTAAGTTAGTGAGCCTACTCCGGCGGCGTGTTGTCGTGAATCCACTCGGAAAAGTGGGCCACAGAGGTGTAGACACTCGGGATACGCAGTCCGCCGCAGTTATCCGATCCAAAGGACATAATTCCAATCTGTGGGATGATAAAATATTACTACATTGGAATAAAGTCCTTCCTGAACCCGGCTTATGTTTAGCATTTCTCTTTATTATTAAGTATTACATTTCCTTATATCCACTTTTTAGCAAATATTTCCGACTAATTGTAGTTGATTACATTAGATGGTGTTGGATTATAAGGGAATGGATCGAATAAATATAAATACCTGTGAGAAGATGCCGTTCTCTTGTATGAAGAGTGGTGCTCCACCGAATCCTTGGCAGACGTCCTTGCCCTCGCCGCCGGCGCACATCCATTGGCCCTCGATGGAGTTCGGGGACTCCAGGGCGCCCGTGGATCCGTAGTTGCGCAGGCACAGATCCCAGCTGGTCAGTGGTACGTCCAGGTGCGACATCTCCGGCTGTCGGACGCTCGACGTGGACATCTTGCCCCAGCCGGCAATGGTAGCCCGTTTGCCCACGACCAGGTTGGCGCGTGTCTTCTGCAGGCAGATGGGCTGTGTAGCCACTGGCGGTGCGAGAGTGGAAATGGGTCCATTAATCTTGTGTTCGACTTCTTATCGCTACCTGCGCAAAACTGCTACATTGTTGCCTGGCCCAAAGGGGCGTACCCCCATATAATCTAAAGGGGTATTTTAAATTTTAACGCATAAATGATCATCAAATTATTATATTATTGACAAAAGCATCAAAAACATAACTCCCGTAAGCCTATATAGAACATAGTATGCAACAATAGCAGATAAGTAGGGTTTCTATTTTCCGTATAAAAATTTAAAAAAACGTAATTGATATCATTGACATCTGGCAGAAATAAGTATTTTAATTATACAAATGGTTTTTGAATACTGTTAATTTCTATTAAAGTTATTCCAAAAATAATATATATATTTTAAGGAAGTCACATGGATTCCCCTTTTGTACACGCCCTTGCCTGACCCAATGATTTATATCTGGCCGCTGTTTTTATTGGACATTATAAAGCAATAAGGAGGATCGTAAACAAGTTGGGCAAGCACCTGGGATACGCCCCCTTTACGAGCTGGCCAAATTGCAATTAACCAATCGATTTCCTCACCGATTCAGCGATCGGCCGTACGTTACCTGGTAATGACAACTTTATGATATGGTATGTGCCAGAGGTGATTCTGTAATAAGGTCTAACGCCCCGAAATTCAATTTCTGGCCTCCGTCTGATGAAGGAACCATCAAAATCACGTCCGAATCGATTTCGAACCTTGGGAACTAACAATTTGCGAGTACCGTAAACAAAACTCAAGTCCTGAATGGACCAAAATGATGAATGGACCTTGTTTTGTTTTCTTTTTTTGCGGATATGCGGGTCGTCCCATAAGAGGATCTTTAATGTTGAAAAATATTCAACATGCATATATAAGTATATGGTATTTTACCATGCCATATCATTATTCCAATGTTCGTAGCCATTGAACTGAGGCCAAAAGCCAGAAATCAAAGCGAAAACAGTGGTCAGGTCTCGATCAACTCATTAGCTGGTACAGTAAACACGCACCAAAGCCCAACGCCGCCCAATTAAGTGGGATGAGATGTGGGGATCCCAACCTCGAATTAGCGACATGCAGGGCAGTCGGTACATTTGACATTTGTGAACTTGGAGCGAGTGGGGTGGTTGGAAAGATGACAGTACAAAACGATTTTTAATTAACGCCGACACCGCCAAGCGTAACCAACGTTGGACTCCAATATATATGTGTGTACTCTGGTACCGCCCCCATCCCGCCCAGAACTCACCCGAATAGTTTAGCGGCGTTTTCAGCACAAGCAGTGCGATGTCGTGGTGGTATTGGCCCTGTTTGTAGTCTGGATGGACGATCACATGGCTGATGGCGTGGTTGACGGACCGGGGGGCACAGAATCCGGTGTTGGCACAATCCGGATCGCTACTCGTATCGTACTCGCCCACGCGCACGGAAGACCTGCAAAAGTCAGGGAGGAGAAAGTCGATTTGATTCCCGATATGATTTGGATGCACTGCACCTAGTGGCCCACTTACAAACGGTGTCCGTCGGCCTTGGCCAAGGCACAGTGGGCGGCAGTTAGGATGACCCGGCGGGCGATTACGGCCCCGGCACACGGATAGGCAAAAGCACCCGTATTGACGTCTGAAAAGTACAATAATGTTAATTTTAGTTAGATATATTATCCAAAACTAAGTAATACAATGTATTTGATACATTTTTCCTAGATTATTTAACTAAATACATTAAAAGATTATTTTTTTTTTCAGAAAGGAATATATTTCTTGGAGCCAATATTACCAACTTAAACAATTTCAGAGTTTAAGAAGCACTAAGCTTCATATATAGGCATGAAAAATAGTTAACTTACGATGTTCGAATTTAGTATTTGTTTTTGAGAAATCTTTTTAATCTTTCAGAAAAGTTCATCTGATGAATTTTAGTATTATATAACACATTGATAGGTTTGTAATTTTAATAGCATATATATTAAATCAAAAAGTACACTTACGTTTAAAACCGATGCGAGCGACGAATGGATAGGAGCCTAATCCTTTGTAGAAGTGTCCCTGAACCAGGGACTTTCCGCACACCTGGTTTTTCTCCAGCGGGCTACTGGGGCAGCAGACGTAGGGCAGCTCCTCGCTGGCTCCGCCGCAGTAGAGCGACTTGTCGCCATAGTAGCAACTCCGGGCCACCTCGTAAATCAGCGCGGTGCAGTCGTGAAGGGGTGTGCATTCCGTGCCCACGGAGCATCCGGATTGTCCGGCGGATTGACCCACTTCATAGTAGGATCGGGCGGCCACCGAATGTCCAGCAGTCTCATTGCTCTGTATCTCACTCTTCTGCCCTGGTTTAGCATAGCTCACAGGAATCAACAGTTTCTCTAAAATACATTTTGGTAAGAATAGGTGTTTCGATTTAAAACCTCTAGTAAAATTTTGGTAATTTTCTATTTTATTGGATAATTTTTCAGTTTTATATCTTTATTATTCACTAACATTTTTGTATTCTAGAAGTTTCACCGAATCCTCTATATTAAGAGGACCTGTTTTTGTTGCGAAGCAATGGAATTAAATTTATTGCCTTGAGTCCATTTTATAAGCAACTTTCCAAGGGCTTTGATTTTATGTGAGGCATTATCCTTAAGCGTAATTAGTTAACACTTTAACACCTATATCCTACCGAATTCTCCCGATTCCGATTGAACTATTACCAAAAGTTGCAAAACTATGCAAAATATTGGAAACGCTGGCATTTTTTCGAACACTTGATCACTTTTCCCGAACTTCGGCTAACACGTTTTGATTTCCTTTACAGGGAAAGGGCTCAGAACTTTCGGTTTCCGGTAATTTGAACCGTGCAGGTGAACAAAACTTTGTCAACTAAACGAAGCGATACCCAAACGATTTGGCCAAATGAAAATGAAAATATACGTATCCACATAAGCAGATAAGTATACCACACACATATCCACTTCTATATACTGGGTTGCTACTGGTCTGGCGGGGTCTGCGGTTATTAACTGATTTTTATGACAGTTTGGTCTCGATTCGCGACCATTTCCAGGTTGTAATTTACCCATTTGCTGGGCAGATACACATTTCTATGGCACTTGATAGCAGAACATGCGGATCTGTCTGTCTGTCCATTGCAAGCGATCTCATGAATCCGTCCGCAGTTGCACTATATGCTGTTTTTCTGGCCATTACTGGTCGTTTTGGTAAAAGTGAGTTTGGGTTCGTTGGGCTGAGCTTACACGGCTTTATAATGCGCTATAAGTTGTAAACACCATTTTTGAAAATGTTTCAAAATCATTTTTTTTGGTTAAGTGTTAAATATTTTAAGTAGGACTTGAAAATAATAAAAATAATCGTTCTTTTCTCTTTAAAATTATTCTTAACATTTTAAAAAAGATGGAACACTTTATAAAAACATGATATATTTTATCTTTACGGTTTTTATTTTGTAGGGAACACTAAACTCGAGTTGGCCTAAACTTTCCCCTGTTTGGTGGGGTATGTTATTATTTAAGTGAGATTAGCTTACGTTTCTCGTATTCCATTTTTTTCGAGTAATAATAAAATATGTTGAATGAGATCATTTAGATATGATAAGCTTTGCCGCATTTCACTGGACAAACGGCCAGCTGGTTCCAGTTTTTTAAGCAGGAAAACAAGCGAGACAAACGCACATTAAATTGCTTAATATGTGTGTTGGTAGTACCACTGGCCCCCAAATTGTTTTGTAATTTTATGTTGAATTTTCTTTTTTTATTGTTAAACATTTAACGGCCAAATTTTACTTTCGTTACGTTTAACGGCATTTTGCAGACATTTAACGAAAAACAAAAGTTTCACTATACAAATTTATCTGGACGTGTGATGACGAAAAGCGAGTTAAGTTAGTCTATCCGGTTGGCGGAAATAGCATCCTGATCGGAATCACTCTTCAGGCTGGAATCGCTGGTCCTTTCTCAAGGGCAGTCTGGGTTCGTGCAGACCGAGACCGGCTCCTGTTCCTCCTGATAACCCTCAATATAAGATGGGATCCCGGAGATGCGCACCTCTGGCACCGGATAGTTGGGCAGCACCTCTCGGAACACATTGTAGCGATCCCGCAACTCGGCATCTACATCCTCCGGTCGACGATCCTGTTCCTGCAGAGAATGCAGCAACGAAAAGAGGAACACCCGGTCTGCAATGTGGCAATCAGGGAGCAGAGAGCGTCCCTCCAGTTCATTGAAACACATGGTGCTCGATTTGGGATGAGATCAATCTTCTTTCCGTTAGTGGTTTGTGAGTAGTAGTGTTTTTAAAAATATAAAGACATTTCAAAGTACCAGCTCCAGCTCGAAATATTATGAAAATGGGTCGTTTCTATTTTGAAAGCAAAAGCAAGGCAAGCCACTTCCTATGATCGATCAAAGCCTTAACAATATTTATATAATTCATTTTATTTATAATTATCTCTAATTATCTTTAGTTTAAGTTGCATTAAAACCACTCAAATCTATACACATTCAACACTATTCATGCCCATATACAAATATGACCTATTGTTAACTTTAAAATGGTAACCAAGAAAACAAAGTTGCACTAATTTATTGGACATTTTATTATAATCGTTTTACATCCCATATTGCATAATTTACCTGCTAAACTGATAGCCTATTAAAGGCCCAACAAAGGAATATTTTTGAATATGAACGGAAGCTATCATATTCACATAAATACAAACGTGCAATATGTACAATGGGCACTGCACATAAATAAATTTGAGTTGTGTTGCAAAAAACACTAAGCTTTGCTATCCGAATTACCGTTATATGGCTCTTATGGCCATTTTGATGTGCTCATTAACGTGTTTAAACTGTCAGTAAATTGCTGAAACATTAATGTCAATCTCACATAGGGAATTGCCCTGTATGATGTATAATACATCTAAAAAATATAATTGTTTGGGGTCATACAAACAACAGAGGGTTACGTTGCTATATACAAAAGTAGAATTTCCCAAATGATTTAAATGCATTTAGCATTATGGAATAGTCTTATATTTTTTATATTTCTTAAACAAAGAAAGATACATTTGCTTCAATTTATGTTGCACTTTTGTATTGCGATATAAAACTTAAAAAGATAAAGCTAAGAATTTTAGTGTTTTTTTCTTTTAAGTTCCTTAACGGGGGTATAGGAGTACCAACCCTTATAGGCTTGAATTGTTGTCAGAAGCAGAGCCGCGACCAAGATTCCGAGGAGCTTCATTTTCCAGAATGTTATGGTGCTTAAGAAACGAATACGCCTTTTATATCCAAATTTTACGTAATTAAAGCGGTTAATTTAATTAATATGCTCTAGTGTGAACTCGTTTTTATAATATGTGACAATCTTTAACCCTTGTTAAACCTGTTTCCCAGAATTTTCGTTCTTATTTTAAATTTTAAAGCTCTATTTTAATAATTTCGTATTTAACATTTTTGTAGTCTGTTATTTGGAGAGAGTAAAGCTTTTGTTAACAGCACTAAACTGGGTTTACAGTTGATTCAAATTTTATTGCCAAGCTTTTACTTAACAGAGTTATTTTACTTAACAGATTCCCAACCTTCTAGTTTAACAGACTAATTTAACTTTACTTTACTTAACCAAATTTTTAAACAAATTATACAATTATATTTCAAATAAATGGAAAAATCTTATATTCTTAGTCATAAAATTTTTTGTGTTATTCAGTTACTCCTGAGACTGGCGATTTGACACCGACACAAGTCTTTATGCTGTGATATCAGTTCCGCAAACTGCGCTACAATGGGATCCCGTCCACAGGAGGCCACCGAAGTCACCTTGTCTCCATCGTCCACAAAGTACGCCACGAACTGCAGATCCTTGAGACTTCCGTCGATGATAACATCCTTATAGGAACCAAAGCCGGCGGAACGAAAGGCCTTGCCAAAAATCACGGTATAGAAAAAGGGTACAGCTTCCAGTTTTGCGATGTGACCACACATGTTCATCGCAGCAATGCGTCCGTGGTATTGGGCCAAGCCATAGTGGCTTATATTTACACGATCTGCGGTCCCACCTAGGATATAAGCACTGGCTATATCACCACCCGCATAAACATTGCGTACATTTGTCTGCAGAAAGTCGTTGACATCCACGGAGCCATTGGGATTGATTTTCACACCAGAATCTTGCAGAAAGTGCGTATTGCATTGGCATCCTGTTCCAAGGATAAGCAGATCGCATGGTATTCGAGATTTATCCAATAGCTCCACGGCAGTCACTTCACCACGATGGTTTCCCAGGATCTGGGTAATGCCACTGCTCATGTGCAGCTTTACGTTATTCTCCTCTAGAAGTTGCAGTATCCGCTTTCCTATCAAACCTCCCAAAGTAGTCTTAAATGGTACATTTTGTCGGGCTACCAGGGTTACGCTGCCCGCTTTGGAAACCAGATTGGCGGCAGCCTCCACAGCCATAAAACTGGAACCCAAACACACCACTTGGGTGGTTTTTCCCACCATTTTGAGTATTCTCCTGGCATCGCCGATGTCTCGAATGGTTCTTACATTTTCCAACTCCACGCCGGGTATGTCTGGTCTTATAGCTGAATAGCCAGTGGCTATATAGATTTTATCATACTGCAACCTCTTGCCATTGCTGCAATGAAGGATGTTGCGAAATGTATCCAGCTTTTCAGCAGAAACTCCTAGACACACCTCTATATCATAGTCCCTGTAAAACTTCTCATCCCGAAGGCAAAAGTGATTTGTATCCTTATTTAAGGAGTTCATGATCTCTACACGATCGTAGGGCAGGTGCTTTTCCCGACAGACAAGGATCAGGCGACCAGTGAAGCCCTCCTGCCGTAGGGTTTCCACACAGATGGCGCCTGAAGGACCTCCTCCAACCACCACAAAACATCTTTGATCCTGCCAGTTACGCTTTTCCATTTTCTTGATCACCTGTTTCTTTCCTAAATCAGTTCGCTTTATTCGTACTAACACCTGTCCTCTGGAATCAACATCAACTTGATGGCAGGGCAAAGAATCCAGACCTGGAAAATTCTCAATATCACCAGTTTCCAGATTGAAACAAGCTCCGTGCCAAGGACATCGCACCCGATTCCTGGACAGGACCCCTTTCGACAGTGGAGCTCCACGATGAGGACAATGGGCGCCAACAGCCCGCAGGATGTCATTTTGCTTGACCAAAAGGATACTGGTGCTCCCATTGATTTCCACCTGCCTCATCTCATTTTCCTGCAAATCAGACCTATGACACACAGCCACCGGATCGGTGTATTCGCATTCTTCTGGAAATGAAATCATTTTCAAATCTGAATTTTTTACTTAAATTGACAGGCTACTTTTGAAACAAAAAAGGTTTCATACCATAATATTCCTAACGTTATACATAACATTTTTAATACTTTTTTAGAAGTTCCTGAAAACCTAAAAAAAGGAAATATACAGCTGAGATCAATAAGTAAAACTTCCTGGCTTAACAGTTTTTGTTGTCTTTTATTCTTATGTGTCAAATAGTAATTTATTTCATCGCATTCGTTTTTATCATTTTACGTAGTTGCTTTTTTACTGACATTTCTATTTGGTTGAAATATTTTTTGGTTTTTGTTTGGTTTTTCGTTAGATATAAATACGACATCACGTTTTCGTAATTGATATTTCTCCTATGCAATTTTGTTGTATTCCTATATAAAGCAATAAATAACTTGTTGATTTCTTTTTTTTTTTGTTTTTGGGGCAGGGCCTAACCAATGTTGTGCTCGCATTTGCCCCGCATTTCTTTGACGCTATACAGACTTAATTAATTTAAAATTCAGTTTTAGTTTCCATTCACTATACACAAATATACAATATTTACATTAAAATATCAGGGTTACGAATGTAAATGATAGAGCGAAGTAATCGTTCAAAAAACAGATGTAATCATAACGCTTAGTAACATTTAAGCCGTGTTTTTGGTGTATCTCAAGCTAAGCCCACCAATTGGCAAACCGAATTGAAATCAAGGATTTTGAGCAAATTGTGTTTGGTTTTGGTTTTTGTTTTGTATGTTTGCGGTGTGGGATTTCTATAAATTAAAAAGGCTTAGTGCATAAACAATAGGGTATGGAATGTGGGTGTGAAACCCACACGACAGCGTTGCCATATTTCTCAATAGCCAAGCTTTTTCCGTTGCTGTTGCAGCTAATGATGTTGCTGTTGCCGCTGTCAATGTTGCTGCTTCTACTGCTGTTGCTATTGCAGCTTTTACCTCTGTTTCTGCTATTAGTGCTGCAACTATTGATGTTGCTGCTTCTACTGCTGTTGCTGTTGCAGGTCTTTCTGCTGTTGGTACTTATATTGCTGTTGCTGCTGTCGAGGCAGCAACATCTGCTGTTGCTGCTGCTACTGTTGTGAGCTTTCAATATGGCGTCGCTGCTATAGTTGCGACGAATGTTGCTGATGTTGCTGCTGTGCAGCGGCCAGCAGCAGGCTTCGCGACTGCATCTCAAAATAACGCAAAAGCAGATTTGAGTATCAGTAATGTACGCCCGTTGCTGACGGATTGGGGGCGGTGCTGACGCTCACACTGCCACTCCCACCGCCGCTGCTGCCATTGTTGTTGTTATTGTTGCTGCTGCTGCTGTTGTTCGCATTGTTGTTGTTGTTGTTGGCGCTGGTTGTATTGGTGCTACCCGAATCGCCCAGCCAGGAATCAGGACTGGGCGGAAAGTCGGGATATCCCTGATCGGGACTAGAATCGTTGCTCAAATCGGAGACATTGTTGCTACTGTGCAGGCGATGATGGGTCTTGCTGGCATGCAAACTGGAACCCACCACTTGATCTAGACAGTGGAGAATACTCTTGAGAATTCCGTTCGTGGAATTGTATAACCTTTTTCTACAACTCACCTATATTCGTGTACACAATATTATCCGGATAGGTGCCGAACGTGTGACCCTGGCCAACTGGCGGCGGCGAGCGACTGCTCGGCGGATATTGCGACGGACTCGAACTGCCGTGCATGTAGGATCCACGGATGCTGTGCGGCGAGGCGCCCTCATCCAGGCCTAAATTGACGGTGCTGTAGCTGTCATTGCTCAGATCTGCAAAGTGGAGACACAGAGATCGTTAAAAAATCCTAAGCTTCGTAATGTACATAAGCTCAAATTATGGGTATGTTTCGTCAAAATACTTATGCCGACCAGTGTATATGTTGTCTACTAACTTAAATAAATTAGACTAAAAAAATTAACATATATACAATATATAATATTTATCGAGAATATGGAGATACTTTGAAAAACCTCTGGGTAAATAAAACAGAATAATTTAAATAGTAGGACTGTCCACTTAAACATTTTCACTACAATATTATTTTTTTTTTTTTCAAAATAGAGCACGTGTTATGAAAGGCATTTTTCCTTTAAAATGTTTGCTTTAAGGTTAGCTCTTCTTGAAATTGAAAAGCCTAACAAATTTAGTTAATGAAATTTATCCTATGGATCGATTCGTTTTGTTGCCTTTTTATGAAAGTGAGTTTCAGGCTTAAATTGAATATTATCAAATAAAAATCAGAGCATCACTTTCCTTTTCCAATTTTCAAACTGTCTAAGTTGGCTTTGCATTTTGAATTTAAAATGCATGTTAATAACTAGTTGACTTTTATAGGTTAATGACCCTACCACATACCATATACCATACAGTAAAATTAGTTTTTAAAATGTGACAGACAGCAAATCCCTATTCAATTGATTTACTTATGCCTCACATAGCGTTTGTCTATTCTCCTTGAGATTCAAGTGTCTGAAGATGGTTTTCCTCTAATCAGAATAGGCTTAGGCACTCACCATGGTGACTAAAGCTGTCGTAGTCGACCTTCAGCTCATCCTTGTCGAGGAATTTCTCGGTGCGCGGCGAGCAGTTGCCCTTCATCGAGCGGAAGTACTGGCTCCATCGCGTGCGTCCCGCGTCCTTTTTCAGTCGTTTCTCCTTGGCCCGCCTGTGAAAGGATGCGATTGGCTTTAGTAAGTGGATGCTACATGGGGGGGGAGGTTCACCCAGACGCACCTGTTCTGGAACCAGACCTGCACCACCCGCATATCCAGGCCCGTGTCCTGCGAAAGCTGCTCACGTACATGGCGGGCGGGCTTGGGGCTGTTGTTGTAGGCGGTTTTCAGGGTCTCCAGCTGCTTGGCGGTGATCGTGGTGCGCGGTCTCTTATTCGGCTGATCGCCATCCAGAGAGCCATCCAAATAGAGGCCTGCAAAAGGGGGTTCAAAATTTAAGTTCGAAATACAAATATTTCCAATCTTTCGTAGTGGATAACCCACCTTTGGCCTTGGCCTCCTCATAATCACGCTTGCAGATCAGCTTGCGATCCTCCATCAGGTAGAACTCGTCGCCGGTGTTCAGGGTGCGGGAGCACATGGCGCACAGGAAGCACTGGAGATGATAGACGTTATCCTGGGCCCGGCGCACCACCTGCGTTGGCGGTATGCCCATATCACAAGCGGAACACTTTGTACCGTAACGTCTGTTCGACCCGAACATTGGCAAATGCGACATGGAAGGAGATTTTTCATTAAACCAAATTTGGCCTCTGAGCAAACCTCGAGAAATGCATCCTTTTGGCGTTTGAGAAATTTACTTACTTGAAGAAGTCCTCCTTGCAGAATAGCTGGCCATTCCGCGCGAAGCACTTGTCGTTCAGCTGATTATGGCACTCGCTGCACTGCAGGCACTTGGCGTGCCACGTCCTTTCCAGCACTTTAAGGATGAACCGGTCCAGGATCAGCTCATGGCAGCCACCGCACTTCGGGATTGTAGCTATAAGAAACCCAGAAAATATCCAGATAATTGTTATCGATCTTACAAAACTGCATTTCTGTATTGCGTTCAGGGTTACAGACTATGGTTTTTCTTTACCCATTTCGACTAAAGAAATTTTCCCTTTTTCGCTTTGCTTAGCTAAATATTTTTCCATGTGCTCAAAATCAAATCAAGACAATATTTAATTGAGCTATTTGACTCTAAATTGAATTTGCTTTTGTCGTCTATTTAAAAAGTCACTATATAGAAACATTAATATCTGATTTGAGCATACACAGTTTTCAAACCTTCATCTTTTTAAAAAATATTAAGTGCTTCCCACCAAATTGAGATTTCAATGGAAACTTTTTATAAAAACGAGATGTACGTATATACTCTCCACTTAAAACCAATAATTACTGGTCGAAGGGAAAAAATACTTCTTCTAAAACAACATTTCAACAATTCTTCTTTGTGTTGTTAACATTACTGAAAATATATACAGTGTGTTTAAAAGCAGGATTAGGCCTTAAATATTCAAACTTATTATGAAACTTATTATTTGGCGCTACATTAAGCATAAGCACATAGAAAATATTCCTATTGTAAAACTCAGTCTGAGAGGAAACACTTGAGTTACATTTTACTTAAAAGCAACTAACGACTTTTAAAGGTTTTATTCGAAGCAATCAAACTATTTTCTCTGAATGTTTAACAAGTTTTATATTTTAACTAATTTAGTTTGTGCACATTTTCTTTGTTGTTTCTGCTTAAACATTGTACGCATTGTACAGGCCAATAATGTTCTTTTGCAAAAACAGGTCTTAAACATTTTAAAAAGTTAATCTTTAAAAAAACGTTTATTTTGGTTCCGATTTTAGACCAAAAACGTCGTATATTAGTCTTTATTTTCTCAGTATAAATAAAAAGAATTTTACGAAAGATGTTTAAAATTGGATAATGGTATATTGGAAACTCATTTAAATTTACATTTTGAGATATAACATTTACTTAATTGTTAGTCGACTGTTTTTTTACTTCACGTATGAGAACATCAGTTCTTATATATTCGTTTTTCGGCAATCCTTGACCAATTTCAAACTTATTGTATAAGACCATAATCGACCAGTCGAATTAATGTTAAAAGTATGTTTGACTTTATGAAGAAGTATTGTAACAAAATCGCATTTTATGTTTATTACTTGTAAGATATCTGATTACACTAAGCTCTTTAAAAAATGTCAAAATATTTTCAAATATTTTTAGTCAAAAGTCCTGAATGCAATTTGTTTAATTTCATTCAAAAGTCATCTCGCTGCTCTAGCCGATTTCAAATAAATTAAGAGTGCATAATGTTTTCAAAATTCCTTAAATTATCAGTCCCTTTAAGATGATAAACCAGTCAAGTATTGTTTCTTAACTTTTTATCTATCTCATTATTATTATTATATTTTAAATTTCAGTAAAATGTGATTTCTTTGTCATTTTGGTCTTTAAGTTTCGTGCTGCCATG